GGGGAAAAAATGAGAATCAAGACTTGCCATGTAAAGGTACATGATCCCAACAATGAATGTAACTGTACTGTATCCCTAAAATGTACCAATAAACTCAATAAAATTAAAAAAAAATACTAATTCTATTTGTGAGGACTAAATTCTCATGAATTTTATCACCTCCTAAAAGCCTTATCTCAGGACTATCACATTGGCTCTTAAGTTTCAATATAGGAGTTTTGGTGGAGTACATCCATTTAAACCATAGCATTCCGTTATGACTTTCTACAATTCATGCAAAGAACTTTTATTTCCTAACATCTTCATGCTTGCATTCATTTTAGAGCCTAAATTGGGAGTCTCATATAAATATCATATAAATCATATGTGAATGATAGTGAAAGGTGTGAATCATTCTAAGCAAAGTCTCATTCCATCTGTGCATTTATAAAATCAAATAAGTTCTGTGTTTCCAAAATACAATAGTGCTACAGGCGTAGGATAGACATTCACATTCCAAAAGACAAATAGGAAAAAAGAACAAAGGAGTAGCAGATCCCAGTTAAGTCCATAAGCTAACAAGGTGAACAACATTAAATCTTAAGGCTGGAGAATCATCCCTGATTCTATGTCCTGCCTTCTGCAAAGCTACTGGTAGAGGTTATATCATCAAAGTTCCAGGCAGAATGACCCCCATGTCTTGCTTGATATAGCCCATGCCACAGCTCTCATGAGTTGCAACTCCAAGGCAAGGAATTAAGCTATCTTGGAAATTTCTGAGGGATTGTGGGCATCCCTAACACAGTGACTCTGCTCATGATTGCTGTAGTGAGAAGTCTCTAGTGTAGACCCATTCCTGCAGGGTTTCTGCATGAATCCAAGTTTTCTTGGGACAGCCTTTGAAATCTAGCTGGAGGAAGCCTTTCCCCACAGCTATGCACCCACACAGTTAGCTCCACATGGAGAAAGTGTATGGACTCTCTACAAGGTCCTGAAATTCTGGGAATTTGATGGGTGGGAAAATCTCCAAAATGGCTTCATGAACAAGTTTTCTAGTGTTCTGATGTGCAACGTGTATGAGGAGTAACATACACATTGTACATTATCCTGCTATTCCAAAAGCCTAGTTTTTGTTTCACTTAATTTAATAAAAAACATTAGCATGCTACTGGTTAAAATTATCTTTTCTGAAATTAGCTGTTATGTACATACTTTATGAAAAACATGAAATGCATAATTTTAAAAATAAGGACACATTGATATTTGTGTGGGGTGTTTCTTTTAATAAGTTTGGTGTTCTAATGTTTTCTTTAAAAGGCATTAATTCATCCTTTCAGTGATTCATTCTGTAAACCTTTACAGATAGTCTTTTATTTTGGAACATGTTTAAAATTCATCCGAATTGCCACACAAATGAAAGTTAATCTATAAGCTGAGAGTAAAATTTGGCATTTAATATCTTTTTCAAAATTGTCTTTCTTCATTTCATGTAAGATTAAATAATAGAAGAAAATGCATAGAAAACATTGTTGTAGAATTTAAAATTAAATTTTAAAAAATGTAATGTCCTGGTAGCTTTGAAAGCTAGGATATAGTAAGCTGCCAGTTGTAACTGGGAATAAAAGGTAAACAGACAATTAAATTCCTTATTTCAGGGTAGGGTTATTCTGAAATATTTCAAGAATAAATAGGAAGCCTTGTGCTTGCTTTGTGAGCACATATAATAAATAGGAAGTCTTTATGAGCCAAAAGGGTCATAGACCTTGTAAGAAGTTTAAATTTATGCTAAGTAAGTTGGGAAATGTATTTTTTTTTAAAGTTAAAGAGTAACAGGATCTAATACATTAGAAAATAAAATCTGGCTATTTTGTGCATAATGTGATGTAGATAGGTAACATTAAAAGTTTAGGGCAAATTATTTAGTGATTTTAGTTCTATAAGAGAAATAAGAATATTTACATAGTTTTTCTTTGTTATGAGATGATCTGCCTTTATACAACCTGCAATATGTTCAAACACTAGAGGTTGAATGCAAGATGATCTAATTGCATAGATATGGCGTAGTAGATGAGATAACATGTACTACTGAAACATCTAACACTGAAAGACAGCACAACAAATATCACCCTTTTGATGTCCATTTTAATTTTTTAATAATTATTGATCTTTTTCATACAATGACCTCATAATTTTAAATTTTATAGAAATTTTGTTTGATTCAATGTTTATTGAATATTAAATACACCAGAAATTCATTTTTTCTAGACCTAATGCTAACTGATATCCAGACTAATGATATAATAAATCTTACCATGAAATAAGTACAGCATTAATAAAATGAAAAATACCTTCAAAATTATGTACATAAAAGTAAATGTATTTTACACTATTTTGAAAAGGGCAAAGTACTATTTTCTGAGTATTACTGTATGTTACTAATATCAAGTGCACTACAAGTACTTGAGAAACTTTTTTCTTTCTTAAAACAATATGCCTAAAATAGAGCTGAAATTTTATGAGAATTAACTGTTTTCTAAATTTCTTTGAAAAATTAAATTTAGATGAGAAATGCTAGATTAATTGACACTGAAATACTGACCATGAGATAAATTTAATTCTACATACTCATGATAGTATTATACAATTATTTAATGTTTCAATTTATGTATTTACTTGTTTTAAAATTGTAGATGCATTATCACTACAAGATAAATAATGGTCACTGTACTTATTCCTCAACCTTTGATGTTTTCATTTATTTCCCTTGTATACTTTAAAATATAAACAATAAAAATGTTATGATATTTTATAAATTAGAAACTAATTTTTTAATTCAGTCAATAAATAAGAGCATTGCTTTGCATACATTTCCAAATAAATATGTTTTCCAAATAAAAATATTGCTTAAGTAAATTTCTCAGTGCTTTCACCTATTTTAGGCAAAGTGTTATGAAATCTTAATAATATTATTCAAAATATTGACTTAAGTTTTTAAAATACTTTTTTGAAATGACTAAAATTTAATGTTCACTTTCTGATCACTTGTTAACATTCAAGAGTTATTAACCACATTCAATTTTTTAACTATTTAAGTTTTAAAAGACTAATGCTTTTATTTTGCAGATTGTTGCCTTGCGTGAGCAAAATGTTCATGTACAAAGAAAAATGGTATCAAGTGAGGGATCCACAGAGTCTGAACATCTTGAAGGGATGGAACCTGGCCAGAAAGTTCATGAAAAGGTATAACATGTGGTGTGCACTTATGCAGAAAAGTTTTCTTTGCATATCATTTGACAGGAGTATGAAATATAAAACCCATGTAATCAATATTCAGTAATATTTATTGATATATTGGTGAAAGTTACATGGTGATTTGTATTCTCATTTATTAGTCTTAATTTGATGCTCTTAAAATATGTATGTGTACATATATGTACTATATATATTTGTGCATATACATATCTAAATATTTCATTACTTACTCTTAATTTTATTCTTTTAAAATAATTCAATTACTTATAATGTAATTTGTCTATATAATTAATGCATTAAATGCATAATTTAAAGTATATATATATTTAAGACTAGCTTAAGAGCAATGATAATACTTGAATTATTAAGTACCTTAAGTGATATTATGTACAATTGGTGTGTAAGCTATTTATCATCACTGCAGAGGTTTTGATAATCTTTCATTTGTCTAAGTACTTGCTTTGTACAGAAAACTGCAGCAACACTTCTTTTAATGACAGAGTGCATAATTGTATATCCACTCTCATGGGACTTTTACTATTTTTTAGACTGGAATAATTCTCTTTTCAGGTGAGGCTTAGACTCAGGCAAAGGAAATCACCAGTCTATCAGGCCAGTAGCAAAATAATTTGCCTCTTTTAAACCACTTATTTCCAGTATAAGAGGAGGAATATGAATTATTGATAGCTTCAGAATTAGATGAAAACTTTTTATAGGTTTGCATATTCTGTGCTTGAAACTCAGGAGAATCTCCTAAAGCTTTGCCTGTAATAAGTTGTCACTTAGGATAGTTAAACTCTTTAGTCATTAATACCACATGAATCAGGTAGCTAAATTGGTGTAATTGTAAATGTCAAGTTCTAAAACCTAGAGATTAAGAGGCAAGTGACTGGATGAAAAAGTAAATAGCATTAGAATTCTTTCCAGAAAAGAAATTAAGCACATCCTCACACATGATATTAAAACAAATGGAAGGTCTTCTAATGTTTCTCCCGTCAAGAATAAGTCATTATATTGTATACATTAAATGTACCAATAAAATTAATTTTTTAAAAGTTTCAAAGAAAATAAAAAAGAAAACTAATTTCCAGAGATAGTCTTCAGTTTTGGTGATGGAGAAATGAACAGATCTTCTCTTAAGAACTCAGCACTTTATCCTTTATGTATTTTATAAAAATCCTAAACTATTTTAAAAATAAAATAATTTTATAGACATATAATAAAAAGCTATATCTGAAATAGAATTAATAAAATTTATTTATTTCTCTGTCATTTGAGTAAACTGTTATTAAGTTAACTTACTACCAAGTTTTTTAGTACCATACATTGACAATCCTAACAGAGTTCAGGAAATCAACATGAAATATTCTTTTTTTATGTGATTTAAATTATTAGTAGTAGATGACTATAGTATTCCTCTACCCCAGAGAATTATAGAATGACACTTGTTGTTATGGAAATCAACTTTATGACATAGTCTTTTTGTAGATATCCATAAAAGTTTGTTTTCTACAACAATGCTAAATTTGTGTAACTCCAGTCAAGAACTGAAGAAATATAGTATTTTTTTAAGGATAAAGAATTTGAGATTTTATCTATCCTCCCAGTATTCCAGGGAGTGGGAAAGAGTGTGTGTGTGTGTGTGTGTGTGTGTGTGTATTTCTCATACACTATCCCGCAATGTTTCCATCAATAACAAATGGCATATAGGGTAGTATATGCATTACATATATGTTTAGTGTGCTATATAGTTTAGCTTTATGTAATTATACTTTATTCTGTTCGCATTACAGTTCTGCCTAATACTTCATTACTTGCAGCATTTCTTTATCACTTATTATTAAACATGGTCACATTATTTCTCAGGATGTAACCCCTAATATATCCAAACAAAATAGAATATAATAGTTTCTTTCAGATTAACTCTCAGATTTTATTTACAAGATGAGAATTTTTGTTTACTTGGTATTTTTCTCTATTACCATAGGAGATACTAGTACACACATGGAAGATTCTGAGTCATTGATAACCTCCAGTGTTTCTCAACTTTGTTTGCAGTCACATATTTGATGAAGTTATTTCAACCAATGTAGAAGATAAATTCTGTGCCTCTGCTCACTCAGTCTTTGCAAGAGCATAACTAAAGAATTTTAAATAGTCGTGATTATTGATATTTATTTTTTTCTGTCTCCAGCAGTAAAGAGGGATTTTCAAGTGCTTTGTAAAATTTATACATCAGTTTTGTTTAGAATATCATGCCCACGCCCTCTCTTTAAATAAGCTGTCCGTCTTTGTGGGAAAATACAAGACACAAATCAATTCAAAGAACAAATGATTTGTGTTCAGTCAATTTCCAAAGTTTGAGTTCGTGGTCCCTGGGCCCTGATGCTTTGGGCCTTGGTGAAGCCAAAGGTCATGGCAGGAAGCAGTGATAGAACAAAGCTGCTGATTACATGATGGCTAGAAACAAAAAGAAGGAGGAGGACCAGAAATATGCTATTCAAGGCCACACCTCTAATGACTCAACTTTCTCCAAATAGGTTCCACCACCTACTGTTTCCAACATCTCATAACAACCCATTCAGCTATAAATCCATATGGATTTATCCACTGATGAGCTCATAGCCCTCCTGATCCAATCAGTGGCTGAGGCCCCACCTGTGAACACTGCTGCACTGGAAATGAAGTTTTGCACATGAGTTTTGGGTTGACATGGAAAATCTAATAATGGCTTCCATGTTAACCTAAAACATAATATGTTGTGTATATTTATTTTGAATATAAAGATAAACACTATTTCAGTTCATATTAGACCTGTGATTGATTTCTCAGGATGAGTCAATGAATTGTTGATATAGTATACCACATTTTTCCCTGACCATTCTTCATAAAATTTAAAACCATATCTTATTATGTTTGTCATATTTCAATAAATACTATTAAATACATAATATTATAAAGTTCCTTTTCAAAGTTATTCTCTGTGACATAATATTTGGAGGTATAACAATACCATTGAATAAGAAATTATCACAAGATTATAAAGTCTAACCATTTTTTAAGAGTTTTTTAAAGTATATTCAAACAGAAGGAAAAATTATTTGATGGTTTATCTATGTAATAAAGCTTCTCAATACAGGCTAACTATAGCATTAGTGTGTAAATTGTAAAGAGATTGATTTCAGATAAAAGCAAAGCAATTGTTTGAAACTAACTGAACTATAAGAAAATGATTTGTAATTCCAGTAGGCAGGACCACCATTTTTTTAGGGCAGTAAAATCACTTAAATTATATACTCAGAGTAGATTATTAGCCAACAGAACAGTTTTTATGTCAGTGACTTGAGAACTCTGTTGATAAAATAGTTCAAAACATAGTCTCAAAAAATAATCTCTTACACAGGCCTGTTTCTCATGAAAAAGTTCCATAATTATTATTAACATTTTGAAAAAAATGAAACGAAGAATTAAGCCTAACTGAAACAAGATTAAATGTGACTTTAAATTTACTCAATTATTATGGAAGAACATAGACATTTACATGATAAAAACATTTTCAGAACACCAAGTTTTATCTTGATCACGTCTGGACTCAATAGCATTTTTCCTGTTCTCTAAAGAGGTGCTAATTTGTAAATATTTTAAATAAACATATTGTTCTCAGAGATTATAATGTTCATAAGTGGTATCTTCTGTACATCCCATTTTATTTTCAGGCTGCAAATATTTGCTAAGTGATGTGGATCAGTAGAATATTAGTGCTAGAAATTCAGAAGATGAAGACTTTGTAATAAATTTGGTAAGACTCTACATCAGAAATAAACACACCCAAAGTCATATTACAAAATGTGATAAATTACATGTCAAAAACAGTATTAGAGTTTGAAGAAAAAAGGAGAAGTCAATCATATGGAAAAGCTTGAAGAGTTTTTGGAGCAAAAGAAAAACCAAGTGCAAATGTGCTGAGGATGGGAGTCCAGTTTCATTTTGTTTGCAATGGAAAAACATGGACTGTTTGTGATCTTTTTATAAAGACATTTGCAATACACTTATATGTGTCATGTTTTACACAGCAGATTTCTGTTTTATTAGCCTTGCAGATAGTGATTTTGAATTGAAATGGCTTATTTATTGGGCCAGAATTATCTCACCTGCAGATAATATTGTGCCCTCATATTTCTTCTTGCCAAAAATAAGTTATTGTTGGTTTTGATTCTTTCATAATCACACATATTCATTTGTTTTCTAGAGTTAATTATTCATTAATTAATTATTTCTAGAGCTATTTTATTCTGGTCAAAACAATGCCTTAAGAAAAGAATTTATTTCATTTCCCTCCACAATTCTCCTAGCATTTTTATTTTGTTTTGTTTTGTTGTTAACTGATCAGACCCTCCAAAGAAGTGATGGATATTTTTGTTTTCATTGTGAGTGTGGTTTTCAAACAGGGCAAGAGAGGCACATGCTTCATGCCCACAGTTTGGTGAGCCTTGCTCTATTCCTCCGTGCCCCTCTTTTTATGATGCAGAGTCCATGGGTCATAGGGACTGTATACCCCATGAGCTGTAATTCCACTCCTTCTTCATCAAAAGCAAGTACTCGAAGTGCAGACTCTATGAACATACAGACCTGAGCCAATTGCAAACTCTGTATGTGTTTCTCCCAACAACTGTGGTCTGCTTATACCTCAGGGCATCCACTTGTACTTCTCCAAAGTGGCCAGATGCTTTTCTTTTCTTTTTTTTTTTTTTTTTTTTTTTTTTTTTGTTTTGTTACTGGGGATTGAACCCGGGTCCTTGTGCTTGTGAAGCAGGTGCCTGAACCACTGAGCTAAATCCCTGGCCCTCAAATGTTTTTGATTGTTGGGATTGTGTGTAAAGTTTGAAAGGACTGGCTGGAGTGCCCTCAAGTGGAGGCAAAGCAGAAGATTGCCCTGGGAGAAACAGAAGGTGGGAAGGGCTGAAAGCTGGCTGTAATTCAGGGTCATA